GTGAAGGGAGGCGGTGGCGAGGTGAAACTTGCTGAACAGAGGCAAACCTGACAGACAATAGCCTTGTATGACTACATGGCATTACTTTCAAGACTAGTCTTAAATTTGCAGATATATTTAAATCTTCGAAATGCCATATCATCACCTGAGTACTGGAGTGTTCTGTCTCCACCTTTGGGAGAAATAAGATAATGTACTTTTCTGAGTCTCCGTACTGCGTTGCACTATCTCCACACACTTCCATAGCTTTACACTACTTGCAAGTGGGAGATTTCAGAACGTGTTTTGTTCTAAGTAACATTTAAACAGCGGCTGATTTCCTAACTTCAGAGCCAGTTTCTTGAAAATTAGTGGACATGGTATAGTGTTATATTAAATAATGAAAATGTAAAGTTTCCCCTATGCTTAAAGTAAGTACCAAGCCATGAAGACGTATGGTGCCATGGTGGTATAATTCCTCGGCGGCAGATAGAGATGAGTGGACAGTTTCACGCCGTTTCTCGCCAGGGTCGCTTATGCCGGTATCACAGGATAGGAAGCTGGTGGGCCCAGGAACCAGTCTGGACGCTCTGGCAAAGACAAATATCCCTGCCAGGAATTGAATCCCGTAGTCTACGTATAAAGTGGGCGAGTTATCCTCTCTCAAATATATAATACGTAAATGACTGTGAATTCTTTAGAAAATGTAAAGAAAAGTTACAAACTCTGTCTTATAATGTTTTATTAAATGTCACTGGCGTTCCTGCCAATTCAAACAGTTGGTACTACTTAAAAGGTAGGGATATGAATTTATAACCCGAAGAAAAAGTTACATTAAAACAGAAAGAATTAATCAAAGAGGTAAGGAATTTGTAACAGACCTTCAGCAACATTTTTTCCACATTTCACGATTATCATTAACATCTAACGACGAAAAACGCAATTCCTGTGTCCCTGTATTAATGTGCCAGATGCATAACCAGGACAAATATAATTTATCATAACGAAAACGTGATTCGGTATCACGAACTCAAACGAACAGAACAGAAATCAAAGGCAAACTGATACCAAATTTATCACTTTACATGCAGCATCACAACTGGGCCATATTATTGCAAAAAAAAAAAAAAAAAAAAAAAAAAAAAAAAAAAAAAAAAAAAAAAAAAAAAAAAAAAAAAAAAAAAAAAAAAAAAAAAAAAAAAAAAAAAAAAAAAAAAAAAAAAAAAAAAAAAAAAAAAAAAAAAAAAAAAAAAAAAAAAAAAAAAAAAAAAAAAAAAAAAAAAAAAAAAAAAAAAAAAAAAAAAAAAAAAAAAAAAAAAAAAAAAAAAAAAAAAAAAAAAAAAAAAAAAAAAAAAAAAAAAAAAAAAAAAAAAAAAAAAAAAAAAAAAAAAAAAAAAAAAAAAAAAAAAAAAAAAAAAAAAAAAAAAAAAAAAAAAAAAAAAAAAAAAAAAAAAAAAAAAAAAAAAAAAAAAAAAAAAAAAAAAAAAAAAAAAAAAAAAAAAAAAAAAAAAAAAAAAAAAAAAAAAAAAAAAAAAAAAAAAAAAAAAAAAAAAAAAAAAAAAAAAAAAAAAAAAAAAAAAAAAAAAAAAAAAAAAAAAAAAAAAAAAAAAAAAAAAATGAAATTGAAAAGCTTTCTCTTACCTCATATGTAAAACTGAATGAAGAAATTCTTGACAACAGTTTGATAGCGCATTCAAAGCTCCTTGAGCACGTCTCCATCGATATTAATAAAACAATCGAACAATTGTAATGCAACATGTACTTGCACTATATCGCATAAACGGCAAACAACCCTATAAAAATGTATTTCACTTTTTGCGCAATGAAGTCGTTGTCAATGAAAGGTGGTGAAGTGAAGTACATGCAATGCAATGTCTTTTATGTGTAATTAGAATCGTGATCTTACACACTATGCAAATTTTGTTAACAGTCTTTAACTGTGATATCACCACATATAATTACTAATAAAATAACACAAATTTCTTGAAATTATTTTTGTGTATTCTACAGCATAGAATGTTAATGAAAAATCCACAAGTCAGAGCACTGTAGCAGATCACTATGCTTTCTGTTAAGCAGTGTTAACAGAACCAGTACTGTGAAGTAATTTGAGCAAACATTTGACCCATACTGAAAGCTGACCGACAGACACACCCTGTAACTACTTGGCTCCTGGCCTGCATTGTGTCTGTCAGCAATGGCACACGCATGACTGAAATATAAAATCAGCTGAACTGTAGGCTTCCAGGGATGCTCACCTCTTGCCCTCTATTAATTAGAAACTGTAACTTCCACATCCCTAATTCTGATTTATTTGCATTTAATGTGTGAAGTGCCCACAGGCAGCACCCTGTGTCTTTCTGAAAGGGGCAGCCAGAAAATTTGCTTATAAACTTGAGGTTTAACTTGTTCAAGAATATTTTACAGATTAGCACAGAGCTGTGAACTTCTACAAAAGTAAAGTAAGTAAAGGTATCCCTGTAACAGGCCGTGGACGCCCATAGGATTGTGAGATGTTGAGGTTCCCACATGGTAGCGTAGCTGGTTGAGGCACTATGCTACAAGCCAGAAAGTCACGGGTTCAATTCCCAATGATATTGGATTTTTCAACCGACCTAATCCTTCCAGTTGCACTATGGCCCTGGGGTCGATTCAGTCTTTAACAGAAATGAGTACCAGGAATATTCTTGGGGGTAAAGAGAGGCTGGCTCATAGGGCTGACAACCTTGCCGCCATCTATGAGCAGACTGTCTAAAAATGTGGGAACCTCTATAAAAGTAAAAGAACTTCTATACTGAAATATAAATTTAATTTTGGGTATTTAGTATATTTCCTTCATTTCTTCAATTTTGATTTTTTTCACAAAATCTGGGAGGGTGATGTATGGCATTCAGTATCAAATGATACACATTATATACACACTTAAAACGCAACTTTCTTGGCCCTTTAAAGACAGAGTCAGAGTTACTTTATGACTGGCTGTTTACCACTGATCAGTTCGTCTTGGCGCCAAGCCCCTTGAGGCTCATAACCAGAGATTTTTATTTTCAACTGAACCCTTGCTGTCATAGTCCTTATGTAACATCCTCTCTGATGAGGTGGGTTTGTCTCTTATGAACATGCATGGATTTTCGTCAAATGTGTATATCGCACATATAGCATGTTACTGAAAATTCTTCCTTATGCACTATATACAAGTCTTCTGTCAGTCCAGGCTTTGCAAAGAAGATCATGCCTATCTTACGTATCTTATGCTACAACAGCAGCTTAGTCACTTGAATGGTCGTAAGCTTGACCGCCACAAAGTTGAATCCTCTTATATTGGGATTTGCCTTGTCCTATGCTGTATACATGTTCATTCTCATGATTTTCTATGACTTCTGCTTCAGAGTAGGGTGGTATGTGGAACCAGCTGTTGTGTTAACCTTGAGTGTCTTGTGATGTCAGTAGCTTGCATCCCGTGACCAGTATCACTCCTAACAAAATGGCCGACAATGATATGTCGTTTTGCCAGCATGTTGTCATCAAATTTCTTATGAAAGAGGAAATCCCTGCTGCAGAAATTCACCAGAGACTTCAGCGTGCTTATGGAAGTGTGTGCATGGGTGCGAGCAATGTTCGAAGATGGGTGAAACATTTTAAAGATGGGAACACCAGCATTGAAGATGAGCCTCGGAGCGGTCGTCCTCGAACAGCCTCAACTGAACGCAACAGGAAAAGGGTGGATGAGATCATTCAAGATGACAGGCGTGGGACTGTGGACACAATAGCCCAAAAACCTGGAATAGGGCACAGTGCAGTACAGGAGATGATTGAAAGCTTGGGCTATAGGAAAGTTTGTGCTCGTTGGGTCCCGCTGTTAGTGACCGAACACCACAAAGGTCAGTGAAAAGCCATCACCTCAGAGCTACTTCAGAGATATTGACATGAAGGTGAAGATTTTTTGCTCTGTATTGTGACAGGTGATGAAAGCTTGTTTCACCATTTCGAGCCTGAAACAAAACGGCAGAGTATGGAATGGCACCATTTGCATTCTCCATCAAAAAAGAAGGCAAAGACAGTGCCATCAGCTGCGAAGGTGATGGGCACAGTCTTCTGGGATGCAGAGGGGTTTATTCTGGCCGAATTCCTGGATCCTGGGCAAACCATCAATGCTGCTCGTTATGTCCAGACGTTGCACAAGCTCCGTTGTGCATTGCACGATGAACGTCTGAGACGAAACATCATCCTGCATGACAACACTCGCCTCACATTGGAAGCAATTGCAAAGATGGGGTGGGAAGTTCTTCCACACCCCTCCTATAGCCCTGATTTGGCACCCTCCGACTACCATCTTTTCGGATTTGTGAAGGATCAGCTTTGTGGACAACGTTTTGAGACAAGGGAGGCAATTC